TTCAAATGTTAAGCTTGTCCCTGCTGTAAAGGACAGCAGAATGTGCTGACTCAGGTAAGCCGTACCACGACCCAACTGGAACCCTATTCTCAGCAATAGCTCCTAGATTGATGATAAATTGGGTCATAGCTAGGGCTGTCACGATACTAAAATTTTCAACTCGATACCGATACTCAGGAAAATACTCGATACTCGATATTTTTCGATACCACAAGGATTAAAAAAAGACCCCAAAATTTAAATACATTTTGACAGGTTAGTGTCTTTCATTTCAAACTGACCTGTTACTAATGTTATCGTGACTGGTGGCCTGCATTAATAACCCTAACCCTAACCCTAACCCTGACCCTAACCCAAACCCTAACCCTCCAGCCTTCATAATTGTGAGAAATAAATATTTTTTGGTTAAACTTCTTTGGACTTATTGTACAAACCTATTTAACATACACTATTTTAACATAATAATATGTATAGAGTTTAATTAAGTGTTTGAAAGATTAATTTCACAATTTTTAAATGAATCTCTATATTGCCATGAGGCAATTAGGATTTTCTTGCCTGGAATCTTCCTATTGTTAATGTAACTATAATGGCCGAGTTCGATGTGGGCGGAGTCGGATATGTACTTGATTAATGGTAGCACGTTATTATTAGCCATTAGCTGAAGCTAGAAGTTCAATGCTAACGTCTTGTTAATGACCATAAACAACGTAAGAAAATGAATAAATAAATCAGAGAGAAGGGGGGTGGTATCGATACTTTTGAAAATGAATATCGTATCCGGATACAACATTTTAGTATTGATACTATTGACAACCCTAGTCGTAGCACGATAACCTGACAGTATCAGACAAAGCCAGAAAAGAAGGAGGAGTGGAGCTGGGCTTCACCTGAGTGAGAGAGCCCTCCCCTCCAGCAGCGCGCTTCTGTCCTCAGTCCTGAGCTGCTGGTCCTCTTCTGGGCTCTGGGGGCCGTCTGTGTCAGCCTCAGAGTGTCTCCCCGCTGTTAGTTGGCAGTAGATGTCCAGGAGACGGTCAGAAACCACGGTCAGCGCGGGGAACCTGCTGGTCAGGACCTACACACAAAGGCACAGGGTTGGCTGGGAACATGAGAGCTGCTCTGCATTCATGATCAATAAAGTACAGTCTAAGTCTAAGTCTAAGTCTATGTCTGATCCTGCTGGGCAGAGAGGTTAAGGCAGGTTAAGGAAACGGGAGTTTGCTCTTCTTGTTGAGATACAGCGTGAGGTACGGAGATGACATCATTAGATTCTGTTCAATTCTCAACACACTGAGCAACAACAACACAGACACCTAAAACACCAGCTTGAAAACATTCTGCCAGAGTCGGCACAGCCTAATACCAAGAACACACCTTTTGGGGCCGGGTTATACAAAATGTCCAATATAACGACAAATTAATTAATTAATATTTTTACTAATACAATATAATGGAAGTATGTCAGGAACTGGTGTGAAAACAGGATGAGTCACTGACCTTTTTCAGCTCGTCTCGTGTCATGCTGCCCATCTGCAGCTTGGTCCAGTACTTGTCCAGCAGGGCTGCGTGAGAGCTTTGAGGTTTGTGCCAGCCACCACCGCTGTAGTACATCCTGCCAACACAAAACAGGACGAAGACATTTTCAGCCATATCATCCAGTCGGGCTGGGCAGATGAGCAGGAGGTGGCCCGTTTGTAGAGCGACTGATGTCGTTAGTCCAGAGACACTAACCTACAGGCTGCTATGAGACAGAGGACCAAAATAACTTCCTGTTTTTGCTGTTACTTGTTAATGGTCCTATCTGGCTCCACATGTCTACTGGACACTGTGTCACTGAAACTACGAAATGCCCTGAACGCAGCCACCCTGACAGGTCTGAATCTCTGATAACATTTAAGACAGGCCAACACATCATTACATGGTGAGAGGTGTGTTTAATGTGAGGACATGCATCTCAAATGAGAACAACTGTGCATGATCCAGGTGCAAAACTGTGCCTTTGTAACGCATATTCATGCTTTTCCTACCTTCGAGTAGCAAAAAACTGAAACCCAGAAGCAACATCAATGCAGTCTTCCCGTCCAGGAATCATCAACTTTTTATTTTCCATCAAAGGCAGGAGCACAGATATCTAATGAAAGAACATTTAGGTCTTATTGCTGTTTGTGGCAATGACATTACCAAAGAAATGTTTCTGAGGTTCATGACAAGGAAGTAACATCAGAAACAAGTGAACTCACCACATCCAGAGGAGCATGGTCAATGTCTTCCAGAAGGATCCACCTGCCTCTGGAAACTGCCTGTGTCAGTGCCCCTGGCTGCCAAACAAACTTTCCTGGTACATCCGTGCAACGGTACATCCCCAGGAGCATCTGAACAGAAAACAGAAAAGAACTCACAAAAGACACCACAAGGAATGGCTCAAACTAAAGCCCCAGAGGCCAAAATACCAGGGACTCCACATCTTTTCTGGTAGTACCATCAGAAATCACCTTGCTGTCTGTTTGATCCCCCAGTTGGACCTTGAGAATCTCTGTGGTGTTCGTGTGTCCAGTGATGGCTGCGATAAACTCTACCAGGGCAGTTTTACCACATCCAATCGGGCCCTCGAGAAGCACGGGTTTGTGAGAAGCCACAGCCAAAGCCAGTCTTCTCAGATTACGGCAGGTTGAGTCCACAAGCACCAGATCCGTGGGGTTGAGCTAAGGACAAAGATAAGTGTTAGCGCATCATAAAAAACAACAGCACCAGCCTTTCTATACTAAACGATTACAAACCTGTTCAGTTTGTCTGGGGACTACTCTCGGCAGCACAACACCACAGACTGCCACCACATTCTGGGACAGGTCCTGGGATACCACCTGGCCCCTGGTATACTTGTTGCCAATCTCTTGGCGCCACTTCACAGATCCTTGATTTGCTAAGACCAAGGCTTTGTCCACCTCCAACTGCTGGCTTTCTTCTAAAGTTCTAAGAAGTATCAAAGATCAACAGCATCTTATTTTAAAGTCAGTTCTACACAGAGACATTTTCATCTGTCAGTAAAGGTAGAAATGTACTCATTACCTCTGCTTTTCTAACTGCTCTAAAAAAGAAATCTGCCAGGTTCATAAAGCTGATTAACTACAACTCCATGAAGGAAAAGCTCCCACTACACACAGCACAGTCTAATGTATGACAGTGTGTTCTGCTAAAAGAGAATGGCACAGTTCAAAAGGCTATAGAGCAGAGAGAGGCCGATACACATACATCATCTTCATGTGAAGGATCTCTTCGTTTGTCAGCACTTTTCTCAAGAAGATCGTCTTCTGATTATCAGTCATGTGAGAGACGAGTGCTAAACACTGGGCCGTGTATCTGTGGAGACACAAAGTGGAGCACAACACTCATTTCAAAGATATTTCAGAACTCCTGTAACTGCTAAACAGAAGCACAGACACAGCCCTGCGTCAGGCTTCTGCTCATGGATGGTTACATATTAGTGACTGATCTCTGAGCTGATGTGGTTAATGATTATATAACCAATTATACGAAGAGTGAAGTAAGTGGTCTTTACAGCTGTCAGAAATGAGACATTCTGATTTACCACAGATTAAGCTCATAACTTTACTTTCTTTCAGCCCATTAGTAAAAAAGTTCGGACTATTTTAAAAGCATATATCTAACTAGGGTTTATGCCCAGATGGAGTTTGACAGAACTACATACTAATGCTTTGTTTTTGTAATAGAATAAATCATTAAAAATGTAAGTCTTTACCTTACTATGAATGAGGTGCTTGATTTGAAAAAAGAGGCATAGCATTGCTGGTTTTCTTTCACCATTACTGAGTAACGTGTTGTTAAATATTTATCATGTGTTCATGTGCACTTGGTTTTTAACATTCCACTCTACTTCAATAGGTACATACCCTCTAACCATGGCATCACTGGTGAGTAACTGCGATACACAGGGACTCCAATCCCAGAGCATTCGAAACCTTTCACAATCACTCTGGAGGAAACGTAGAGTAGCCCCCATAAGGTCCCGAAGCTTCATCCTCCTGGGGCCATACTGGACCGCAGAAGACTCTTCAACGGTGAAAAAGAGCCTCTGAAACACTGGGGGGGCCTTGGTAAAGTACCTTGCAGCAAACCTTAAGAAGACAAGCAGCAAATGACTTACTGTGGGCGTTCATGTTAATCAAGTAGGTTTTTCCATAGGCAGTGTGAACAGATCAAAAGACATTCACTCACGAATGTGCATCAGGACTGATGCCCAGGAGCTTGCTAAGGGCCACACACAGACGCTCGTGGAGGTCATGATGGATCCTGCCAGCAGCTGTAACCCTCTCTGCATTCCTCTCCAACAGGTCCAAAACAAGTGGCCGCACGTGTCGTGCAATCAGCAAAGTGTAATCCTTCTCCAGGAGAAGCTGAGCCAAACACTCCAGGATGGATTTTCTGTCCTGTTGGCTCCATATCTGGGAGAGTGTTACAAGGTGAGAAAAAATTAAATGATCTAATAAACAATTGGTTGACATAATCGGGTTAACCAACAAAAGGGAATGCCAAGACGTTTACAATTAGTTTATGACTAGAACGTAAGATGAAAGCAACAGTATGTTACACAGCATACACAAAACTTTGAGTCTCTATATGACATAAGGGCCTATAAACACATCACTATGTTACCATCCCACTATCCTTAACATATCTTACCTGTTTCGACAAATATCGACTCAGTTCGTTGTGACTTTTGTCAATTTGTCTGGATATGGTACCCAGAGATGACAGGCTCAGTTCTAAGTTTTCCATAGCATGTGTCGCTTACAGAGAAGAAAGCAACATCAATGACAAGTCCGCGCTCTCTAGGAGCACGTTTCCAATTGATTTCCTGCAAAAAGGAAAACTGTAAGGTTTTTCACCAGCTCCAATATCCGGAGCCGTATCAAAACACATGCGTTCCGCGCTGTTAAAATCCTGTCCACATGTGAGCGCAGCACATCTCTTTCCGGGTCGCATTACACTCAAGTCCTCCACCATCCCCCGCTTCCGTCGCGAAGTGATGACGCGCCACATAGCGACCGCGGCGAGTTCTTCCCGGGAGACGAGCGGTTTCAGCTCGAGCTTTCTCCCACCGGTGCCAGTATTAATAGCTTTTTTGCTTACATTTGGCTGTGGGAAAATGAGACTAGCTGAAAAATATTGTGCATAGGTTTAGCAGGTCACCCAAAAGCTATTTTTTTAAGAGCATTTATCGTTTCAACGTAAGAGTTGCATGCACCCGGGCAGTGACAGACCGCGGGAAAATGTCGTTACTTCCTGTGTGAAGAAGTCTTGGCGCGACTCAAACCTTGTAAACACAAGGAGGGAACATAATAATACGGGAGAGTGAGTAAGTTCCTGGCGAGCTGTTGTTATTTTTTCTTTTATTATATAGCCAATGTTTTATTTTGGGTTGTTTAGGGTAAATCAGAATCCTTAACTGACCCTTTTAGCCGTTTTCTTTGCTGGAGTTAAACCGTTGGTTAGCGTACAACCAGTTGTTGCTAAATGTTTTAAAAAAATAGATAACCATTCTTATTTTGAGGAAACAACTTGAACCTGTTTGTGATTTATGAAGTGAGTATCCTCAGACATTAGCATGGAGGTGTGGGTTCATAGGAATTGTTGGGTTATCACAGGAGCTTTGTTTAGCCCTCGATTCTTTCAGCTTTCAGACTCAGTTGGAATAGAAATTGGAGTTTGGTTTTGGGAGTTTGCTCCAGAATGGGATCGGAATAAAAATCAATATGTTAAAGAACATGCATACATTGGTCATATACAACAAATGAAAGGATTTATATATACGGTACAGCTTAATGGTTTTGAACTTATTAAAAAACGTATTTCTGACGCCATATTCATGAATTTTTGTTGGAGGGTCGTGAATCTAAAAGAAAATAGTATTTATCTTACTGCCACATCAGTATGAGCTTGATTTGTCTAAAACAAATATATCTGTGATCCATTTTCTGGGCTTGAGACTCGTGTGCTTATTGTATGTGTATGTTGTAGAAACCCAATTCTTTGAAACAATATGTGACTAAATTAAAGACTATATATATATGTTGGAAAGGGATTTGTTAGGTTGTTGTCACCTTTTGAGGGGTGCTGTCTGTGGATGCTTTAAATGGGGGTTTCAGCATTGAATAGAATAAATGTTTGCGTATTTGATGGAAAATGTCAATTTGGTAACACACTAGGATCGTATTTGTTTTGATGATTAATTACTACCGGATTAATTTTAATAAGACTGATCTTCTTTTTGTTTGTCTTCAAGCTCTCCTTAAGAAATTAAACAGCAATTGAAAATATGGAGATTAGTGATACTTCTAGTGGTAAGTATAAATCTCTTCTTTTAACATGTGCAGTTACTTTGTTGTGTTGCTTTTAATACGGTGTGGTATTATTCAATAGATGCCATTTCACAAATGACACAAACTAAGTCGTTGGATAAATATATAGATTTTTATATGCATCTGGACTAATTATTTCCTGCATCCTGCTCTGTAATGAGTCCCAGTTCCATAAGATGATCAATATGTGAGGGAGGTCTGAATCAACCTTGGTGGAGATCTGTTAGTTAATTTAAATAGGCTACTGTTTTTTGACTGGCACCTGGAGGACAGGAAAGTTAGTCAGTGTCATTGTGCTGCACAATGATACTGTCTTGCATACTAGTATATTAGAGTGAAATTATAATGGATGGGATTGAATAGGACTGTACACGGTTAGGTTGAATTAGCCTAGAATGAAATGCAACACACATGATTGTCATGAAACTGAATTAGAACTTCATCTAGTTAGACTTGTGTTGACCTCTACATTGCATTTTTAAAGAAGTTGTGGACCATTTTTTCTGTATAAATATGAAATTGCTGTGGGTAAAATTGTTTAATATTCCAACACAACGGTTTAAATCTTTTAATCAAAGTTGTGGTCCCCGCTGCCACTGAAGACTCGGTGGATATTTACGAGGGCCTGGACATTGGAATTGGCAGTAATGCAGGTATTATTTTAATCACCAATCTTTTTTAACATGCTGCGGTGAAAACAGACAGTTTGCTCAGCATGTTTCTCTTTTCTTAACTCCTTTATTAGAGGGCCCTTCTCCCACTAGCTCTCAGTTAAAAGAGTCTATGGATCTTTATGAAGACCTTGTGACAGAGGAACAGCAGAGCCGAGACTCGTCCTACACTGAGGTGAGATTCTTTTCATCTTTTTGTTTGGCGGGCATTTACCAACACAGAGTGTAAAAGCTCTATTTATACCTGTTTGGTTGGCTTTTAGAATGGAGAAGAGTGCAGTAATACCTCTCAGCGTCTGTATGAAAGTAGGCTAACCCTTGATTATCACAACGTGTCAAGTGTCTTTACCCATTTGTGTGCCTGCAGTTAGAGTCCAGATTCAAAGCAGCTCAAAGTCAAATCAAAGAGTTGCACCGGAGGCTGGAACAGGTGGAAATGAAGGTGTGTTCTGCTCTCTTATTTTGCCACACTTTGAAGAGTACATCCTGTTATTGAATTCTCAACTTCTTTAGGATTGAATTAGAAGGTGTATTTAGGAACAGATCTTTCTGCTCGTTGTGTCTCCATAGTGGGCAGATCTTTGCCTCTCTTTGCCTTTGAACCTACATACATTGAAAGTACCGTAAACATGCTGATGCTATCCATTTTAAAACATGCACAAAGGGTTGGAATACGTTTATTAATGTCACAATCGGATGATGAAGGTTGTTCCTACAGACAAAGCTATGAAAAGTTACCCTGCATAACCCCGTTTTCTCTTTTATGCCCTTTTTAACAGAATGCAGGGTTAAGCAAGGAGAACCACTCTCTCAAAATGAACATCTCTGCTCTTCTGCGAACAGCCAGACAGGAATTAAAGCGAAAAGATACGGAGATTGAAAAGTTGAATCAGTGGTAAGTTTTATTACCGAGAACAATACTATTATCTGAAGTAGAACACAGAGCTGTTTGACCAAATGCTGTGCCTGTAGATCATATAATGGTGTAATAACAGAACACAGTCCTTGAGCTGTGGAGCGTCTGTTGAACTCATGTTAGCCACAGACCGACTGAGCCATTCTCACATGTGGGACGGGTCATTGGAAGTATATTTTTTTACACAAAAAAACTTCTAATGACCTCTGCCCTTATTAGTGTTTAAATAATTGATTGTTGTTCAAACTTTGATTTCCACAGGGCAGACAGAAGTCGGCACCATCAGTCTCACACGTCTCGCCTTAGGGATCCACATTCCTCCAGTCAGACCTCAGCAGTTCCTTCCCAGTGTTTGGTGCCTCCTCCACAAACATCTAGTCTTCCTCAGCCAGTAACAGCTTCCCTTTCACCCACCAGGGCCAGTCATTCCCATAAAGATCTGCCTCAGCCTACAAGGAAGGAAAGTTATAGTCTGACAAAGTCTTCAAAAGAATCACTTGTTAGCCATTCAAAAAGAGAAACTGAAACGGCCGACAAACACACTGAACCAGACAAACACAAGTCCAGAGACGGAGACCCAAAACGGAGAAGGCACCACTCATCTGAATCAACTGATAAAAGACACAGAGATTCTTCAGATCCTAGCAAGGACTCTTGTGTTTCTGGGAAAAACAGGTCTCACAAAGCAGACAGAGACTTTGGACGAAGACATGACTCCAGGTCCTGTAAAAGCAGGGGCTACCCAAAGGAGGGCCACCAGAGGTCGGATGGAGCTAAAACCCCTCCACCAGAGACGTTACATAGTGCTGCTGACAACAGGAAAGGCTGCATTCAGGATTGTAAAAAGGCCAAAGTCAAATTGCTTCCTTCAGAACACAATAGTGGTACAGCTCACAGCCCAAAAGATGACTACAGCCGAGCTCATCGAAAAATGAAGAGTAGTCGTTCTCATGACAGCCATTCCAATTCAAAGGAACGGAATAAGTCCTCTTCAAATCAACATTATGAGCCTAGAGAGAAGGAAAGGGATAGGCAGAAGGACAACCAGAGCACGGGGGACAAAGGACACCAGGGGGAAGGCAGTAAACAGCACAGGAGGAGCACTCAGCCGGAGACCAGCAGAGAAGAAGGGAAGCGGAAAGTCCAAAACCCAGAGAGACGTAGCATGGACCTCCATGCTGAGGAAAAGGCCCAGAAAGCTGCTAAAAGGCCCCCCAAAGAAAACCACATTTGTGATGAAAACAGTCCAAACAGGAAACTGTGTTTTATGGAAACTTTGAATCTAACCATTTCACCCATTAAAAAGCCTGGAGAAGTCCTGCCGATCAACAAGGACGGCAGTGGAACTGATGAGGGTTCCCAGCCTGACATTGAAGACCTGTGTGTAATTGATGAGGTACACAACAGTGAATTAGAAACCCAGACGGTGGATGGAGGAGATGCTGCTGAAGCCTCATGTCAAAAGGACGTGAAGGCTAAAAACCTGAGCCCAACAGGGGACACTGTGCTCCAAACTACCTCAGATCCCAGCCAACCGCTGGATTCTCCTGTGAAGCACACAGCTCCTGAACAGCCCCCCGCTGCCAAGGGTCCCGTGGGTCCTTTTGTGAAGGCAGCCGACAGCTCAGAGCAGGAGGCCAGAGCGTGCCAGACATTAGCTGTCCCAGTCAGAGCTGAGCCCGGCACCACACCGGGAGTTTCTGAACAGCTTCTGCAGAAAGGCCCTCCTGGGAAAGCCCCCGACGGACTGCAGGATGCACCACAAACAGCAGCAGCTCAGAGCATCTCCCCAGACTCTGTCAGTGAACCGGCAGTCTCTTCAAGCCTGAAAGAACCCCCAATGACTCCAGACGTAGCTGAGAAGCTGCAAATGCCTCCTTCTGTCCCGTCCTTCAGCTGCCAGCAGGAGCCCTCTCCTCCTTCCTCAACCAGTTTCACTCACCAGGAAGACTGCTGTGGGCAGCCAGACGCTCCCAAAGACATCGACACCGTGTCCAGTACAATTAGTCTGGATTCCCTGCCACAGGAGGGGCTGAGTTTAACAGAAGCCATATATGTTTTAACTCAAACTAATGCAGACACTGGTGACAGCAGCACGCTCCCAGCTGAGCCCACTTCCTCCACCGGTTGTATTGGAGTTTCTAAAGTCAGCAGTACCACCGAGGACAAGCACAGTGTCCCTATGGTGACTCCCAAGAAACGCCTCAGCCCTGCAAAGAGCCAGGAGTGTGGGGCCCAGCCCTCCCACTCTGTGCCCTTACTCCACGATGAGGACTCCATGATGCACACGCTGAGCAACCTGCAGACCATCCCTGATGCCATCAGCCCCCTGAGGAGCCCTGTGCGGATCGCCCGGAGAAGTCTGCTCCACCTGCACAGCAAACCCGGGCATGTCAAAAGTCTTCAGAAGGGTAAGGTTACATCATAGCGCTGGTCATTCCTCCAGCCTGTCAGCCTCTAAATGTGCCCCACACGCCCAGGTTTTTCCCAGATAAAACAGAAAGCCCATTCTTCAAGATCTGGTCTAAATGGACAAACTATATAAAATCAGTAATTCCTGTGGACTAAATATGTCTATTACATGCAAGTACTGTTTCTCTGTGTATTGTACTCTGGCTCAGGATTATGGCAAACTTACGCTCTTGACTATGTTTTTCCCCTAACATAAGAAGACTCAGACCAGACCCTCCATCCCCCCACTCACTCTTCTGTTATGTACTGTATGTTCTGTTATTATACAAAAAAAAAGCTGGTTTGGCTTATGTTACTCATTCGCATACTTCCAATGTGGTGGAAGCTGGATTGCACAAAATAATTGTAATTTGCCTTTCCAAATAAAAAATGTAAAAACAAAAAAACAGAAAGCCCATGGCCATTGGGCTGCTGGGCACACACAGGGTACCTGGATAAAGGAGCAGCTCAGCAGGGGCAGCCGGACGTTAAAGCTGCTGCATCCTGTTGTGTGTATGTGTGTATCTAGGCAAACAAGGCTTGAACCAAAGATTAGTAAGGTCCTGAAGGGAATGTGCAGTCAGAACAGGACTAGTCGGGTTCAGCTCCGGCCTGTGTTCACACAGAGCATCAACTGGTAGTGAGGTCCCTTAAAGATGGCTGTGCCAGGTAACCAGCAGCATTTCTTGTCCTCCAGCGTGCTCTAGTGCAGTATGTGAAGGCTGTTGTCTACTCTCTCTTTTTAACGTGACCTCCTCCTTTCCTCTGCAGATTTCTCCACTCCTGGGATTGATGAGGACTCCAAGAAGTTGGACGTGAACAAAGAGAACAAATATCCCGGTGTCCCTGCAAACCGTGATGCACAGCACCTGTCGGAGAAGGGAACAGAGCTCACATCAGGCCTCTCCGACACAGAGTTAGAAGAAGGGGAAATTCTGAGTGAAAGTGATGAGGCCGCCTCAGGTTCACCTGGACCTCCAGCCAAGAGGGCAAAGCTAACTCAGCCAGTCAGACATAATGCCAGCCCTGCGTCTGTTTTAAGGAGGAAGTCAGAAGAAAGGCGTATTGCTTCAAAAGACACTTCTGAAGCAGCTGGTGCATCAACTCAAAGCCCCAAAAGCCGTTTCAAAACAGTCTGCCCCTCAGCAGGCAAAGCCGCCTTTTCCTCCATAGAGGAAATCATGGACACATTCAAGCTGGTTCGCACCGAGATCCGGAAAAAATACATGAAGCTTCACAAGACTTTTCCCAGGAAGAGCTTCTACGGCGTGATGGACAACTTCCAGAAGTCTTTCTTAGAGTTCGTGGACGGTGCTCACTTTGGCCATGTGTGCAGTAAAGCAGATGAGCTGAAGCCCAAGCTCAGGTCGCTCATCTCCTCGGTGTTTAGCAAAGTCCTGAACAACGGCATTGTCAAACGCATCTTTGAGCAGCAAGCAACTGATCTGAAGCAGAAGCTGTGGGACTTTGTGGATGTGCAGGTGGACTTCCTGCTCAGGGACATCCACACTACTCTGACGGGCCTTTGCAAAGCGGCCAGAGCTCCAGCCCAGGACGCGCTGTCCCGTGGAGCTGAGGCCGGACCCCAGCAGCTCAGGGAGGGGCCTTCTCCCCCCACCAGCTCCAGCCAGCCCAGGTCATGTGCCCTGGTGCCCTACAGAACAGGACTAGGAAGCAGAGGCAAAGACATCAGAATCACGCATGCTAAAAAGGAGCCGCCCAACACTCAGAACCCACCGGCTGTGGATGAGCCTCCCTCTCAGAAAAAGCTTCCTCCCACTGCAGAAAAGCCAAATGTGTCCTCTCTGGTGGTCTCTCAAAGTGGCTCTGTGCTGGATAGGGCCGACTTTGAGCTCCTGACAGAGCAGCAAGCCTCCAGTTTAACCTTCAACCTGGTGAGAGACTCTCAGATGGGGGAGATCTTCAAGTGTCTGCTGCAGGGGTCAGATCTGTTGGAGAGTGCTGGGGACAACACTGCCTGGGCTCTGGGCACACCCAGGAAGGACGGGGACAGGTTCTTCAGCATCGCCACTCCGTCCAAACTGGATTCTCCATCCAAGCTGATGTCTCCCGCCAAGTTTGAGAGTCCCTCTAAACTTATTGCCACATGGGCTAACATTTCCCCCCGCAGGCTGCTATCCCCGCGGCTAAAGGAGCAGGTTCCTCTCAACCCAGCGCTGTTGGATGAAAGCTGCCTCTTAGAGGTCCCCTCAGAGAACCGGGCTCTGCTCCAGACCTCCCACAGGTCCTACTCCATTCTTGCTGAGGATCTGGCCGTGTCCCTCACCATCCCGTCTCCTCTGAAGTCCGACAGCCACCTGAGCTTCCTCCAGCCGGTGGGCACGCAGCCCCTGTCCACTCCAGACAGCGTGCTCAGCGCCCACATCAGTGAGGACGCCCTGATGGACGGGGAGGACGCCACCGAGCAGGACATCCACCTGGCTCTGGACACGGATAACTCCAGCCGTGGCTCCATCAGCAGTGGGGCCTCAGAAGCCCCTCCCACCTCCTTCCTGTTCAAGCCTGACGTGCCCATGCAGGCCCTGGTGATGGAGAGGTCCAATGACCACTTCATAGTGAAGATCCGACAGGCCAGCGCCGACCCGGACGCCACGCTGACGGCAGAGGACAGCTTAAGCTGCACTCTGACAGAAGAAGCTAACGGGGCCGCCCAGCAAAGTCCAGCTCAGCCCCGTGCTCCCCCCATAGAGCACACGGCCACCTCAGCCACAGGCTCCTCCACAGGCTCCTCCCCCCCCAAAAACAACCAGCTCCACCAAAGTCAGGCCAGCTCTGCTCATCACAAGGCCCCAAAACATCCTGCTACCAACAAGTCCTGTGCTTTAAATGAGCCTTTAGGCCCCCCCCAGAGCACGGTGAGTGCTAAGGAGAGGGCCGGCCAGGCACTGCCCACACACAACATCACCAAAGAAGGTCCTCCAACTGCTCAGGACAGAGTCAGCCCCTCCTCAGCTCACTGTGGGCGTCCTCCCTCTGAGAACACACACACCGGTCAGCAAGATCACCGGGAATCAGGAAGTCCCCGCTGGTCAGACCCGGCCGGCAGCTGTCCAGACAAAAGGCCTGAGCGCAGCAGGAAACGCAAGAAGCTCCCAGACAGAGTGCAGGTCAAGATGGCCAGAGAGGAGGAGGACAGCCCAGAGTGTTCCTCTGGGATGGAGCAGGAGGAGCCCCTGTCCAGCCCCGCGGGGCTGTCGCCCAGCAGCCTGTCGGCCAAAAACCTGGTCAGGAAGAAGGGAGAGGTGGTGATGGCATGGACCAGGTGAGCAGATGAGTGTCTGATCCACTGCATAGTGCTTGTTTCCACTCCACTGTCTTCATCTGTCTGTGTATGTGTGTGTATTCTGTGTATGTGTGCTGTGTGTGTGTATGCTGTTTGTGATTGAGGAAAAGGTCAAAAGACGTGGCAGAAAGAATGAAAGGTGGGTGACTCCTGTCCTTCTTCTTCCAGAGAGGAAGATCGAGCTATCCTGATGGACCTGAAGACCAGAGGAGCTTCCCGTGAGACCTTCTCCTCTCTGGCAGAGAAGCTTAACAAGCCTTCCAGCCAGGTAAGCCGTCTGGCCCGTGGTTCCTGGCCTTTTTTCTATGTTCTGGTACTCCTACTCAGCTAGTTGCTGCTCTCTGTCCCCTCAGATCGCACACAGGTTTTACCAGCTCATGAAGCTTTTCAAGAGGCAGGAGAAGATGGAGCCCTGACTCTCCACAGTGCGCTGCCCCAAGAGGACCATGACAGGAGCTCCTGGAGGCCACCGTCTGAAGAACACACGTTTGATCTTCACAGTTTTGGCGGGAGCTTTCAGGACTTGTTGTTAGCAGTGAGCTCAGCAGGTATCGTCATAACTGAGTGTCGCTCCAATACTATCAGTGGTTTTAATGCACTTTGTGTTTTTTTTTAACGAGCCATGTTGGAATCAGGAGAACATCACTGGCTCAGAATATTCCTTCATGCCCCCTCACTGTGGCTGTGAACTGAGCGCAGAATCTGGGATTTCCCTTTCAGCTTTTACGTCACTGGAGCCCTCCGAAAGACTCCAGGCTCTAGATGGGCCTGGAAAGGTCAGGAAAGCTGCCCTCTGACTGGTAAAAGCCTTTCTCTCTCACCTGGCCATAGCCCTGTGACCAGCAGAGCCAAGGGCTCCTTTTCTTTAAGGGATGAAGAAGTAGTGCCCATCCCGCCCTGTTTGGACATGATGCCCACCATGTAAAGAGCACATTTCCTGTGCAGAGGGGAGGAATTAGTTTTAGCTGGAGGGAGGTTTGGTTCTTGTCTTGACTGCCCTAAACTGGTGGCTTTTCTCTGTGAATGAGGGTATTGCTGTGATCCACACACGCACTTCTGATCTCCATTTGTGTTCAAAGGAAGTTTTTCATGTTAGAAGATTCCGAAACTGTTTACATCCCCAATTCATTTCTCATAATCAGCACAGATTGCAATACTCTATTTTATTGAAAATAAAAATGTATTTATTTATGTTGGTGTGGACCTTTTTCTTTTATTAGCTTGGTGGCCCAGTGACAGCCTCCCCATGACCCCACCGGGACAGGCCGGGTGGGGAACGGATCAATGGATGGAGAATTTGTCTAATGTTTTTGGCTGGGACTTTCTGTTGAGCCACCACACAAATATTCATAAAGTGGGGCACAATTTATTGAAATCAAGGCCAGTGCCCAGGGGGGCCATTTGGAACTGGACTACACATAAGCTCCGACACAAACAGATTTAGCATGTTTATTCAGCCCTGCAGTGCTGAGTTGAAACCCATCCATGTCAGCCTCAGTCCACATCCAGCATCCACATGTCCTGTACAAGGTGTGTGTTTGTGCATTTTTAGGCAGATGGCAGTTGTGTCATATTCCTTTGTGTCACTACACCCGGTTACAGCGGAGTTCTGGTTAAGAGAAGCATGCATGGAACATTATTCCATATCGAATACAAAACCAAGAATTGGTGCATTTTCCCGCCCAGTTTGCGACAGTATTTCACTCATGCTTTAACCTGAGAAGTAACTAAAGCTGCCAGCTCTGGATTACAGTAGACTTTTCCACATTATTCTTCAGAATGACTAAAAAAAAGTTGCTTTTCACCTCATTTGCTGTATTTTAGCGGTATTCAAAGGTTTTTCAGTGTGTTTTCAGCAAAGCATGAGAAAAGCTTCAGTTCCAGAGGAAGGCCAATGGAAAGCTGTTTTTACGACGTGTGATTACCTTGTATCTGTAATCAGCAAGAAAGCTGGAAATATTGTGCATATCAGTATTGACATCTCAGTTGCTGCTATTTCCAGAATAGTGACCTGATAAAAGTGTGGCAGGCTGAAACTTACCTCAGGGTATTATAGGGTCATGTGGTGGATCAATGGATTCAAACTAGAGTCCTAGTTTGCAGCAGCATTGAAATAGTGTCAGTGCTGTCCACAGAGGGGGGTTACTCAGTCTGCAAGGACCACAAACGAGCTATGGTGTCATCTGAGAGGGCTCTGCTTCTGAAAAGCACTGTGGTCCAGTACAGGAGGCAGGGACCCTAGAAAACCTGTGAGTAAAAATGTTTCCTGAGCCTTTTCACAGCATTTGGATAAAAGCTTGCAAAACGCTCACAGCATTCTCTCTTCACGACAGCTAATGATAATGTGAGAGAAGATGGGGGACTGGAACCTGTTAGGCAGCATTTTGGAGGAGGTCCACATCCACTCCACCATCGTGGGGAAGATCTGGCTCACCATCCTCTTCATTTTCCGGATGCTGGTGCTGGGCGTTGCGGCGGAGGACGTGTGGGATGACGAGCAGAGCGAGTTCGTGTGCAACACAGAGCAGCCCGGCTGCAAAAACGTGTGCTACGACCAGGCCTTCCCCATCTCCCTCATCCGCTACTGGGTCCTGCAGATCATCTTCGTGTCCTCCCCTTCTCTCGTCTACATGGGCCACGCTCTGTACCGACTGAGGACCCTGGACAAAGAGAGACATAAGAAGAAGGCCTGCCTGAAGGCGGAGCTGGAGGGGACGGACCCCGTCCAGGAGGACCACAGGAGAATCGAGCGGGAGCTCCGGAAACTGGACGAACAGAAGAAAGTCCGGAAAGCTCCGCTCAGAGGCTCTCTGCTGCGCACGTACGTGTTCCATATCTTGACCCGGTCTGTGGTGGAGGTGGGTTTTATCATCGGTCAGTGTGCTCTCTACGGCATCGGCCTGTCTCCTCTCTACAAGTGTGAAAGGCTGCCTTGTCCCAATAGCGTCGATTGTTTCGTGTCAAGACCCACAGAGAAGAACATCTTCATGGTGTTCATGCTCGTTATTGCCGGAGTCTCTTTGGTCCTCAACCTCCTGGAGATTTTCCACCTGGGCGTGAAGAAGATCAAACAAAGCCTGTATGGATACAAATATGGAGATGAGGACAGTGTGTGCAGGTCCAAGAAAAACTCCATGGTGCAGCAGGTGTGTGTGCTGACTAACTCCTCCCCCCAGAGGCTGCTGGCCTGCTCTGTGGTGTCTGAGGCCTGTCACATGCCTCCCTCGGCCTCTCAGAACCAGGAGGGCTCGGGCCTGGACCAGAGGAAGCCCTCCTGCAGCAGCGAGGACTCCGCCCCCCCCCACGGCTCCGGCCGGCCCCCCTACGCAGGGCCCCGGGCCACGCTGACGGCCGGACACATGGAGATCCCGGCCGCCCTGAGGAACCCCCAGAGGAAGCAGAGCAAGGTGAGCATCTACAAGGAGCTGAGCGACATGAGCGACTCCCCGGAGAGCGAGCTCTACCCCACCGCCAGGAAGTGCAGCTTCATGTCCAGAGGCCTGTCCGAGGCCCAGCTGGCCAGCCCGTCGGACAGCGGGGCTTCTCAGAGCGGAACCGACACCGAGGCCCAGCTCCTCAACCAGGGGGAGAGCCCCGTCATGACCCCACCCCCCCCAGCCGGGGGCAGGAGGATGTCCATGGTGAGAAACGTGTGAAGAAGTGTCCCACCTTATCTAGAGCTGGATTCTTAATCAGACTAAAACAGATGTCTTTGAGATTTGGTGAAACTTTGAGGACGTTCTAAATCTAAAAACAAAAGTTTGATAGATCCCATCTTGAGGGTTTAGTGGGAAAGGGGTGAGAAACGCTCCTTTTGGACTGTGATGAAGTGTCCCACCTTATCTAGAGCTAGATTCAGAATCAGACTAAAACAGGCGTCTTTCGTTCTGAATCTAAACAAAAGTTTGATAGATCCCATCTTGAGGGTTTAGAGGGAAAGGGATGAACAATGTTTCCAGGTCCCCACGGTGAGAAACGCTCCTTTTGGACTGTGTGATGAAGTGTCCCACCTTATCTAAAGCTGGATTCAGAATCAGACTGAATGTCTTTGAGATTTTGATGAAACTTTGAGGACGTTCTAAATCTAAACTAAAGTTTGATAGATCACATCTTGAGGGTTTAGTGGGAAAGGGATGAACAATGTTTCCAGGTGCCCACTTTAATGTGCTGGGAGGAAAGAAATGATTAGATATGTTTGATTATGACACAGATTTCGTTTTCTATGGACTTGTTTGTTCTGTTGAAACGACCTTTGACATCAGCCTGTCAGACACTATCATGCATTAGATCTTTAGGGCATCCATTCTCCTGCTGTTGGAATATTGTTTTCTTTAGTCCCTCACCATAACTACTACAGCTGAATACTAGCCCATCCTTAACCCTAAACCTAACAATGGCTTCATTCTGTTCCCACCCAGAAAACCAAGCTTTAGCTGACAAAGATCTCCTCAAACATATCAAACCTCCATTTGCTCCCACAAGAACAGTCTCCTCAGATTTGACCTGATTAACATGGAAAAAAACAAGCACACATACACTCTATAGATCAGTGGCTGTACTCACAAAACTGCTACTACTGCTATACTATACTATACTATACTATACTATACTATACTATACTATACTATACTATACTATACTATACTATACTATAACACTATAGTATAGTATAGTATTATAGTATAGCAGTATATACTATACATTTATGCTTCAAATTCAGAATAAAAACACAAATAGCTCAGATGTTGGTGGATGTGTCTGCGACTTGAAAATATTACTGTATGAATACTTTTTCTTTTCTTTTCAGAGCATGATTCTGGAGTTGTCTTCAATCATGAAAAAGTGAACTTTAACTGCATCTTTGGGACACTTCCAGAGACAAATCTCCTCCCATCTGTGTGTTCATCTGCCGGGACACGAGCCTCTCTACAGTCAAATCCACATCCCCGATACAGAATACTCTCCTCTAGACTAACATCTACTGCTTTTAACGATTGCGGGTTTTAGATCAATAAAGATAACTGTGAATGATAAATGTACATGTGTCAAAGCAGATGTGATCATAGGATAAGATTAAAAGAACTTGAAGCCTTTTGAAAAGCCAAACAGGACAGAAGACTGTAAGACCTGATTGTAGACTTGACAGGAAAAGATGACCGAATTCTTTACACTAGTATAATTTTCTGATTGTATACAAACACCAATTCCACTTCAGTCGGAACATTTTGCAATACTTTAATAAAAAAAGAACACATTACTTACAGATCCATCCATCTCAATCTATAAATTAAAACACATAAAAGATACAATATACATCATTTAAACTGACACATTTAACAATGTTGGCACTGGGAAAGTTGCTGCATGCATGAAATCCAGTGCATTTCCCAGCTGAACCCGTCCCAGTCCCAGTCTCCCAGTCATTAAAGAGAAAGGGTGGAACCAGGTTCTCTGCTTTGTCAATGTGTTGCAGGCATCAAATTAAAAAGGAATGAAAAACATCTTCTGTTGTTCATCTCTTACACAATGCTCCTTCTTAATGGGAGTTACACAAAAGAAACTAAATGATCATGGAATGAGTGCTGCCATGTTGTAATGTCAACTTAGTTTCATATCAAAAGATGAATTGCTCATGAAAGAAGAACCAAAGCATTGACAGCCATGGAAAAGCCAGCTCCAAAGCCCATTTATTTTAAAAAGCCCTGATGATTTTTAGGCATTTTCTGCTATGTGGATGATGCTTTCAGGCTGCATTGAGCTTACATCTTTGTGTCCGACTGCCTAAAGACTCATGCTTGCTCTCTGCACACTGTTTTACCTTGAAAATTCTCCAAATTAAACCTAATGTGTAATGCTAGTTTTAAAGCCCTCTCGCCTCATATCAACTACTACTACTACTTCTGCTTTACTTCAGTGAAGCCGCTTATCTGGTCGTGCGTCCATCGGGCTCAGAAACCTGGCCTATCAGTCATTTTTCTACACATTTTTTGAGGATTGAGGAAAAACTGAAGCACTGGATACATTCATAGATTTGGACTGACCTGGTATCAGGCTCTTTGGTGATGCACTGGCAGGCCTTCAGAATCTGGACCGAACACTTTAACAAAAGAGAGGATATCCATTTCTCAGCATTATGAGCCCTCTACAGCTCCATTTGTTAGCATTCAACCCATTTATGTCCAAATAAAATTAGGTAGCTACCATTAATGTATCTAGGCCAACTGAATGATGTTCTCATTGGGTTGAAAGCAGAATGGCGCTATCACCTGTTTAATAAAAAACAACTGTAAAAGCAGATGGAACAGGTCTGTATTAGAAAAGTTACATTTCTTTAAATTAAAACTGTCAATATATCCCAATAATGATCAAGGCCCTCCAGAAATAAGAAGCTTTTTCATCTGAAGAAGCCTCTTTCTCCTGTATGCCCAATGTAGGGAATATTATGTATATGAATCAATGCTTAGGTATTTTCTATTTAGAAAAGAAGGATAAGACATAATTTAAGTTATTTGCAAACTTTTTTTCTCTTTGTGCTTTTTGTGTCCTTTTTGTTCACTATTTGAGACCTATTTGGTCACATGTGGTATTTGGCTTCAAATCACCGTTCCACCTAAACGTAGCTCATATCAGAGTATGGCTAAACATCCCCACTTTACCCTCATTTGGTCCAAAGCACATTGTTCAAGGAGTATTGGGAGTTCTTCAGATTGATCTTTGCAAAGCCAAATCTTTCTGTTATCTTCACAAAGAAAAAAGAAAAAAGAGAAAAAAGCCTTGCCTTAGAAAAAGAAAAGCCTTAGCCTAAATAATGCAGTATTAGAATGTAAGTGGAGCTGTCTCTGACTCTGGAGGTTTGTTTGAGGGGCTAAAAAGCTGTCTTAGTTACAGCTTTGAGTTCAGGTCTGAGTCACAGAGTCTGGGATTTAGTGTTGAGCCCCTGGATTCAGGCTGTGTGACAGAGACAAAGAGAGAGCTGCTTTATTAATCCTGAGGGAAATAAAAGAAATCCTGAGCTATATCCAAACAAACAAGTCTCATTCTGTGTCTTTACTTAGCAAATAGAATGCTTTATGTCTTATTCTGATAAAGCAGAAAGCTGTGGGTAAGCTATTAACTTTTGTATAAACTGTATCTCACAACGGTCTTTTTCAGTGGGAAAACACTTTTCAATATCTTAAGCATTGAAGTTTAAGAGAAGTTGGGTGGGGTTTAGTTTAGGTGGCCTCCCTGTGGTGAAGCTGAACCATAGACACACCGTCAGTAAAGATGCTCACACTCCACAAGCCAAGAATATGTTTGAGGAAATATTTCAAGAAAATTCGGAAGAAAAGGAGTGAATCATAGCAACGCATTTTAAACCCAAACATGATTGTTTCCTCACTCTAACCCGGCAACATTTTAGATTAACCCAACCAGGGAGTGACAAAGGTATTTTGTGTTACATGCAATCTGCATAATGATTCCAATCCATTTGAGCAATCTGAAATGAAGTCAAGCTATTCAAAATGTTGATGTGAGTTCTGATACGTTTATGTGAAAAATACTCAATGCACAAAGCATGATATGCATGTTTCTTTATTTCATAGAGAAATTGTGTCTAGACAAAAAAAAAGTCATGTAACACTAGCAATTGAAATGAATGAAAATGGGGTTTGCACAATACTGTATTTACAATGGTTATTATGTAATTCAATAATTAGGGTCATGTAGCATTTAAAAACTAGGTAAGAACTCTTAGTGGAGAATAAGCAAATAACAGCTATTTTAAACTGACAATATCAACACAAAACAATCATCTAAAAAATAGAGAAAAATAAAAACAACTTGAACTACGAGCTTAGGAGCTATTACAATAAAAATGATGCACCAAAACTACTAATACAATAATCCATAGAATCTGTGTAAAAAGCATGTAGAAAAAACACCTGATGCAGTTTGCTGATACAGTCATTGACCAGTTATGAGAGGTATGAAGGATTTCACAGGTAGATAAGTGTGAGAAAGTCCGCACTGGTTACTCAGGGATGGGGGCTCAGGCCCCTGCATACACTCATTTCACTTGAATGTGAACTATGGCCTCTGCAAGTTCTAAGGCAAATATCGGAGATGCACTTGTATCCATGTAATGCTGACCCATCCCAAAAGACAAGGTGAAGGAGCCCATTCTTTGTCTTACACACCACCAAGAACTTATCCAATTGAAATGAGCTCATTTTACATGGCAAAAAAATATCAAACATAACACCCATTTGTAAACATATTCCGTTTTTACTTTACTCAATGATCTCAGACTGTGCAGTAAACCAGGTTATCATGTTTTTCAAATGAAGTTGAGCGATCTTTTAAAAGGCATGTTTTTGTTCATTTTGTTCATATTCTTTCTGAACAACCTTTGGAGTTGCAAAAGCCAGTGTTTGTTTCAGAGAAGCAGCGACAAAAAGTGTTAAAAATAAAAAAAAAAGACAAATACACAGCAAAAAGGTAAGAACATTCTACCACGGAGTTACAGCAACATAGAAATTGTTCACATAAATTAAACAATTGTAATGGCCACAAAAAAAAGCATTTGACCTGCACAAAGCAACCTGGAGAATTCCTCATATCAAAACATCAAATTCTTAAATACATCAATATGTAGAATCTCAAAACAGAAGACAATTTGTGTGAAGGATCAATTAGAAAAAGCAGAGTGAGTAGCTAACTCAGAGGGAATCATCACCACCACTGCCTCTGCTGCATAGCTTCTGAGCGTTTTTATCTCTGGTTTGGTTTTACAACAACCAAACTCTTTTGTTTTCTAGCAGCTGAAAGAACAAAACTATTGAGCTAATTGTTTGCTACTAGCCTGTGGGGGGGCCCGAGGTGCAGATGAAGGTGATGAACCATAGACATTGCTCTGAAGTACCCCTACAGCCAATAAGAATCAGTCACCACTCAACTTTATATAATCACACCATCCTTCTGTAAGGAACTTTTAGTTTTCATTTTCATTAATGAAAGTACATAGAAAGAAGTGAATAATACATCCACTCAGAATGATACAGGCAGGATGTTTAAATTGACACCCTGAGACTTTTGAGGGACAGTTCATCAAATGGGCATAAAACCTAGGCTCTTATTTTCTTCCACTGGTATTGTTGCCATGCAGACACTTTGGTTTGTACAATTTTAGATTACTGCCACAACTCAACAGCAATTCTGATGAAAATAATACTGCTATTGGGTTTTTGTTAGAATTATTTATCCAAATGGACAGCAGAGCACGCTGTCTCCACGGTTTAAAAAAGGTGTGATGCTTCTCCTCTGTTTAGCTTTTGGTTTTCAACTCAAACTTAGTTACTTTTGAGTGAGGGCAGAAATCTAAACAGATACATATCTCAGAACATGGGCAAACAAAATCCAAACCGATTTATGGGTAGATGCCAACAGTAAAACGCTTTTTGTGTAAACCAGAAAAAATCCCGTCTGGGAGGTCTGAATAATGCAGGTCTAAGATTAGCCTAACTTACTTAACACATCTGACCACCGATGGGGGGGATGCTTGCTTTTTTAAATGTTGATTCGGGCTTAATAAAAATGAGAGAAAAGCCCATGAAAGGCCATGAGGGGTTAGGGTTAGGGTACTGGAGAGTTTGGTACTGTATCACTTCTTGTGGTTCTATGCTAATTCAAGGGTTAGGTATATGGGCTAATCAAAGTAAAGTCAGTAATACAGGACTTGTTTTTATTTTCAAATGATTGGGAAATCTCAAAGATGTCCGCAGAGTTTGCCACACCAAAAAGTAAGTGAGTGATTCTCTCCCCAGTAGAGGAATACGAGGCCGAAGAGCCCGCTCTCTCCAAAACAACAGCAGGCTTAAATGTAAGGACAGCATAGTGAGAACCAGAAACACACGAGTTGCATAATCTGTGCAGAGAAAAGCTTCTGATGCAGACCGCTGCGTTTGAGTCTGAAGCTGGGAGAAGAGTGACATGGCTAAACTGTGTTCAGCCAGGATAGTAGCACAATCAGTGTGTGTGTGTGTGTGTGTGTGTGTGTCTGAGTGAGCATCAGAACGCGTGCATGTGTGTGTGTCTGCGAATACGACAAGAAAGTGATCAGCCCAAAGCTTTTAAAGAGAGAATAAAAGCAAACGCTAAAGGGGTTGGCAACAGAAAGCATCTCACCAATCCCGTTTCTATCAAAACTACCTCTAAAATGTACATCTGTAAGAGGGAAAACCTTCAAACATCGCTTTCATGCTTCAGAGGCCCCATCCCATATTTTTGAGCTATTCCAAATCCAGACAGACTGCTCAGGTGTGAACACTTGTGCGGAAACACAGAAGAACAGATTGCTACAGCGCTCCCTTTCTGCTACTAACAAAAGCATGGTGCTTTTTACAGGCGCTCTGAACCAGAAAACCACTGCGATGAATCATGTGTCGCTCTGTGGTTGGCAGGACAAGGCCAATTAGAAATACCTTTTTGGTTTATACTAATTTCTTGTTTCGGGATTAGCTCCTAAACCATCCTGTTACAACAAAAAGATACACTGTTAAATCGGTATTATCAAAGCTGGATTACAAAGAAGAAAAACAGGGCAACTACCAAGCTGTTCCCACGCCTGTGCCTTTAAATGATAACATTACAATGGGCATATTTATCGCAGTTTTGGGCCAGGAACGCATATCATTCCATCCAATGACGTTTCTCCTTCTGCACCTACAGCAGACACTCAAACTTTACTTGATTCAGAAAACACGGGAGCTGTTGGGAAAAGCTCCAGCTCAGATATTAGCAGCCGGGACTAATCTGGACCTGGCCATAGTGACAGAAACACAGATGTTCCAGAGATGAGCTCCAAGAGAACACGTTAGAAGTTAGTGCATTTGACAAATAAGTCAAAACCAGAGAGATTAAGCTATTTTGGTTTAACTTTGGGAAAGCTGTATGCTCATTTGTTTTTAGGTGATTTTGTAATAATAGATACTGATTGTTTTACAGGTAGAACAGCAAAGTTCAGGAACATGCTCATAACAGAAGAGCTCTGAATAAGAGAACAGCCCCCGGTCTGAGGGCCGTTAGGTCGGGGGGGAACTGGGGCTTTAAAGAGCAAAAAACAAAGCTTCACGCAGCAAATCAATTCAAGCAGGGTGTCAGCCCAAAACTGACACCCTGCTTTCACTTTAAAACCTGCTTCTAGTGAGGTGGACATAATTAAGCATCTTTATACAGAGAAATGTTAAAAAATAGCATTTTAAAAGCAGACTGTTCCAGAAAGAACTTACAAGGCAAAACAGAAGCTAGACCAACTAACTAGGCTCGTAGCTATAGGCAGCATGCATGCACGTCACAAAATAGGGTGTTCAAACACAATTAGGGCAAACAAGTTTCTACCTTATATGACTGTTATTCAGTCATTTGGACAATACGTACACTGCTTTCACTTCAAATTAATATTAGCTTTCATTTCCTAAAGAAATACAAATATAAGTAGTAAACACTCAAACTTAGCTTCATTTTGTATTCAGGGTTCTGATTTTCAAACATATCTTTAATCTATATCATCACATCAAATAATGTTTCCTCTTGCAGGGCCGATTTAAGTGCTCCAATCTGAAGTCTGAAATAAAGACAAAGGCCATTACTGAAGTGCTGAATGGCTCCGAGTGCCTGGGGGTGGAAACAAGGTGCCTGCTTTTTCAAATCTGTCTTTCTTTTGCTTTTTTGTTCATTCTATACAACATCAATTCCACAAAATGAAAGTTCCAAAGCATCCAGTAGCAACACTGAGGAAACCCAAATTCTCTTTGCATGTCTACGCATATAGCGCCTTTAGATACTGAGAAGAAATCAAATTTCCTCGTAAATGACAGAAATAAGGAACAAGGAAGAAGTTGTGGACATTTAAAGAGGAGTCAGGCTGGTCTGAGCCACATCTGGAACTCTGATACATGCAGGGGGGGGGTGTGGGTCTATATGTACTGTTTGCATGTCTACATGTGAGTGAGCTGATTTCCTGAGAATAAGAACACTTGCCTCAGTGGGAAGTATTCATTAGGCAGGACAGGAAACAGCAAAGCAAAGAGTTTTCCCTTAGAAAAGGTGCTTAATATAAACCCAGTGAAAAAGAAACGCCTAAGCCTCTACCTGTACAAAAACCACTGTTACAGTCATCATGCTCCGTTCTATTTACACATCTGCCACACGAGCACTTGAAATCACTAAAACATCCAAGTACAATGGTATTGCTGATGAGTGGGAAATAAAAATAGCCATCTAACTGCTTGCAAAGCCTTTTTTCTTCTTTCAGTTCAGTGCTGTGGAAGGCATAGAAGGAATGTTTTCAGTTACAGCCTGTACAAAGTTCTCCTGCACAGAAATACAAATGCACCACGCTTGAAGACTTTTTTTGCATATGAACATTTTACAGTCTCACTGCATTGTCATTTCCTCACCTACAGAAGCTATTTTTCTCATTTTTCATGAATTAGGTTGAACATTCAGAGATTTCTTTTCCTGAGTTTGAATTGTTGTGACAAAAAGGGCCACTGAGATATAATCATAGCATAAACAGAAGGAGACAGACAGACAGAGAGGTAGAAGACCTGACGAGCTGTTTTCACACACGACCATCTGAGGGTCAGAAGAATGAGCTGAGGGTCAGGTGTGCTGCCCCCCAGGGTTTAGGAAACTCCTAAACCCTGAACCCCCTACCCCTCTGGGTGGGTTCAGGGTTTAGAGCAGAGCAGAAATCTCTGAAATCCTGAATTAGGAGGTGGTAGGAGGCAGAACACCAGCGGGGTGGAGCACTGGCTCCCCCTCCAGAAGATGTTAGGAAATGTTCAGGAATGCAGCACATGTGTGAAAAGAGCTCTGGAAACCGAGTGGGAGGAAAGAGAAGAAGAACAGAAGAAAACACTGTGGGGGCAGAGACAAAGAGAGCTGCTGTTTAGGTCCGGTGAGGTTCGACTGTGAGCTGTGGTGTGAGACATGAATACCAGAGTCTGCGGGGGGGGGGGGGGTAGCACCATCGAAGGGTTGGTGAGAGGGTCCCACTGTGTCATGGTAGAGGAAAAGGTCTGTAGAACAGTATTGCTGCTGTTAAGACAACTTTAGTGTCAACCGTTCAAACATGTAAAAAAAGCACAAAATGACATAAATACAAACAACGCTTGTTTTCAGTGGACACTGGCAGAGGCTGAGCCCAGAGACAGGGTTTGTCAGAAGAGGAGGAGACTTAAATAATAGAAACATCCGGAGGGACAGAGGGAGCCCTCACTGGGGGCAGTCCTTCCGCGGCTGCTCGTCGGTCGTACATTTGTCAGTCATTTCCTGGCAGAAATCCACCGTCACCGTGTGGTGGGGCTTCTCCGGGTACAGGCCGGGGTCCTGGTCCTGGTCCTGGTCCTGGCCGGGGTCCTGGTCCTGGTCCTGGTCCTGGTCCTGGTCCTGGCCGTCCAGGTCTGGGTCCGTCCCGTTCCGGACGGCCAGGTGTGGCTCCGGGGAGCCGTGGGGGGGGGGGTCTGGCGTGTGGGCGGTGAGGGCGGTGCTGGGGGGGGGGGGGGGGGGTTTGGCCGCAGCACGGGGCAGTAGTGGTGCAGGGACTGGACCTGCTCCGGGCTCAGCTGCACGTCCCGGCACACCTCCTGGGACAGGCAGGAGAAGTTCTCCCACAGCTCCCCCATGCACGCCTTCAGCTGGTTCCTCTCCGTCAGCAGCTTCTCCTTCTCACACACCTACAGACACACACACACACACACACACACACACAGATATACAGACACACACACACACACACACACAGAGAAAAGGACTCGTTTCAGAGAGGCAGTCAAAAAGATTTTGGGCAGATTTTTTTTCATGCACACATGCACGCACACACACACACACGCACACGCACACACGAACACACACACACGCATGCACGCACACACACACGAACACACGCACACACACGCACACACACACACACGAACACACACACGCACGCACGCACACACCCACACACACAGAAAATGACTCGTTTCAGAGAGGCAGTCAAAAAGATTTGGGGAAAAAGTTCTCCATCAATAGAATGTTCTTTAATCACAAGTCCTTTTCAGGGCTCCATGTCCAGAACTGACCCTAACCCTCTATCAGGTCAGAGGGCCCACAGCTCCCCTCTGTAATCGTCCACAAGCAGCCCAAAAACCTCTGACCTAATGCTCCTGACCGCTCCGTAGGATCGACTAGTCCTATTGATATTCCACAGAACTTTGAGTGTCCTGATTCTAAATCTTCCCTCTATCAGCCCCATTATGATTAGAATAAATGTAATATTGTTGTGTTTCCTGTCTGTTGCATAACATTTAAGTTTCCACCATTAATTACATTTATATAAACAGGTTAAACAACATGTACTTTACAGGCTTACTGACTGAATATCTAATCAAGCAGAATCTCACATCCCATAAATCAGACTGAAACGATGAGAATGTGAAAGAATCTTTGAACTTTTCTGTTTCAGAGACTGGTTTGTTCAAAGGCTAAAAATATGGAGAATTTGTCATTAGTGGCTGTAACTGATTATTGATCATGGTGTCACAGCATCTGAAGCATGCCTCTCAGGATCTGAGCTCTGTGATTTCAGTATGAGATTATACTCAAGTCTGATTCTAGTGAAGGAAAAAGAACGAGGCTGGTGGGTGCTAGCTTCTAGGGCAGAAAGAAGCTCTCCACTCACCAGCTTTCTGATCTCACACTCCAGGTTCAGGATGCAGTCCAGCTTCCTCTTGCGGCAGCGCTGCGCTGCGATCCGGTTCTTACTGCGCCGCCTCACGTCATGGATGAACTCCAGCTGCTCCGAGGTCAGTTTGTGCATTTTTACCAACATTTGGAAGTCGTTCCGTGGAAGATTTGTGATTTGATCAACAGGGAAAGGAAGCTTAACCTGGAAAAGACAGGAACATGTTTCATTATAAACCAGATGTACTATTAGGAGTTATTTACTTCTTCTTTGACCAATGGCAGCATCACTTTTTTTGTTGAATTTTCAGTTGAATTTGACTCTGAGATGAGGACATACGAATACAAAATGTCCTCATATATACGGAAAAGCACTTCATGCTGGACCTCCAACTCCCGTCTTATCATTCTAATGATAATAATGTGATGTACACTGAATTTGATGTATTAAAATAAAAAAATGGAATTTGTGTACCTTAAAATACTATAATTATTTGTGTTTTATCCACATCTATATGTTTTGTCATAATTGATACACACAGATGAAATCTTTTTGGATTTATTAAACGGAATCCTCATATTTTCAGCTTTATTGAAACTGACATTTACTCAAGCAAACAAATGTCTTATTGTGTCGTATTGACATGTAATAAGACAAACTGAGGACTGGAACTGATGAACTTGATCCATTCATACGACGTCACATGCTGTTAGAGGCTTTTACCAGTAGATGGCAGCAGAGCTCTGCCCCCCCAGCCTCTGTGGGGGAAACTAGGTAAGCGTTGGGCTTTCTCCTCCTCGTATTTCTCATGAAGCACAAAAGGTGATTGAGAAGAAGAGCCTGGCTCCATCCTTCTCCTGGCAGCTGGACGTGTGCCAGTGACTGGTCAAAATCACCCGAATCAGAGGAATAGCACCAGAAGTGCCTAAATTAGAGTAATAACACCGCCTAATAGCACCAGAAGTGCCTAAATTAGAGTAATAACACCGCCTAATAACACCAGAAGTGATGCGGTACCCTCAAATACACCTCCTCTGGTGTGACAAATGATCAAGGCTGCATGTGTTTCTTCCCGTTTTTCATTCTGAGGAACAACAATAGTCCAGCTCTGGCCCTCAGGTGCTGGCAGCCCCGAGCTCCGCCCCCCCCCAGCCGCCCCCCCCCCCCCCCCCCCCCCCCCGCCATGTTCCTGCTCCAGGAGCTGAGGCTGCATAACAAAGAGCCAGAGGAATACACACATGCAGCGTGGCAGGG